AAGGTGCTTAGATATGAGCTTCAGCTAGGAATGCTCTGACGATGATAATCTTTACGTTTTTTACTAAAAGGAGGGCTGTACCGTATAATGTGCCTTTGTTGTCTGTTGCGTCGGGGGCGAGCTTGTTGATTGTCTTTGCTGTAGATTAGTGTTTCAGAGTATCCGCTGGTTTTCAAAGCAGTTTCGTAGATTGGTTTGGCCTTTGTTGAATTCGTGTTCGTTGTATGAGTTGTCCGAGAATGCGGCGGCTGATGGATGCTGGGAGTTGCTTTATTATGTTAGGCGGTGGGTTAGACTTTGTGTTGATATACAGTGGTTCGTTGTTAGGCTTTCTGTAGGGGTAGTAAGTACCTTTTGATAGATGGCAAGTCCGTCGTCTCTGYAAAGTCCGATGTTGTCTTTCCCGTATGTGTTACATAGGTCGTTGAGGATGAATAAGCCTACAAGCTCGCATGCTTCGGCTCCGTCGTAGCTACCCATAGCCGACGTCAAAATGAGCTGTTGTTTTTCTTAATCCAGGCAGTGTTACTGTTGAAGAGGAGGAATTTCCGTGAATGCACGATAATGTCAATGTCGCGGTCCGTAATGGTAGTGAATTGTGTGGCGAAGTTGATTGCGTCTGTAAGAAGTTTCTCAGTGATGGAGGGGTAGAAGTTTTCAATGTCAATACGGCAAAGGTGTGTTGATCTTTGTGTTGTATAGATGAGAACCAGCTGATGACGGATGATGAGTTTTCCCATTGGTTAAGGCCAGTCTTCTTTCTTACAGTCGTGTTAATGTTCGCGAGGATTTCTTTGCTGATACGTCCGCAATCTCACGGGTTTGTGCAGGGTTAATAAATCTACATGTAGGTTTGATCTGGAAGTTGTCTATATTAAATTAATTATTTCTGATACTTTATTGATTATCATTAGCTAGTAGTAGCTGGAAACAAGGTAAAAGTAACTGTAAATAAGGTAGAAGTAAACTAGACGCTCTGGGAGCGTGAAGTCGGACTAGCTGCTTGTGAAAATTGAGAAAGACAGGATATTACATGGATAAAAATATTTCTTAACTTTTTTTTCCAAAACAGCCGAACTCACGGTCTAATAAGAGCGTCTAGTTCAAAATATGCAAAATTTATTGAGACTTTAAATAAACTTGACCTAAAAGGTCATGTAATTAAAGCGGCGATAAGAACGTGGCTTGCTTTGACTGATAAAATCAACTACTCAGACAAATGTCTCGCTAAGTGATAAATGATATCTAAAACGTTGACCTCTCAGGCAAAGAAAATTTTACACGAAAAAAGATGCCTATAAAATCATTAAATTCGCCTTTCTGTTATTGATAAACAAAGTTTCTTCTTGTTCTAATTTGAAATCTTTGCCCCCACAAGACTGTCTAACACTAGAAAGGATATTGATTCAGTTTTGTAAGCATACAACTCGAAACTCTATGCGATCTGCACATGCGCGTACTTCTAATGCCTAGGCAGATGCATTCCGATGAGATCACAGATACCACATTTGTAAACGAATAGTTTTTTTGTCATATGAAAGCCAAGTAGTATATAACATTTACTAACGATATTCGTACATCAATACGCTTGAACTTCCGGTCATGTAATAACACAGCCAACCCAATRGTTAATTATTAAATTCTTAACTTCCGGTGGTCCAAACGCGACAAAATACATAGATAGATTGATAGRCTAAAAGGTAAATTTAAAGTCGGACCGCCTTCGGCTAGTCCGACTAATAAGATAGAATACAAGGCAGGAGTACTTCCTCTGGTTTACAGTTGCTGCATGTGGTACAAATTACAAACAGGGATTGGCTGGATACCTCATGAATAATTAATGAGTATGAGAATKATATTTCAATGTACATAATCCGAATATCCTAAGTGATTGCAAATAACAATGACGCAAATAACTTTGCATTAATATATTTTTTCTTTAGAGAAACAGGTCATATTCGGTTAAATTCGTTTCCATGGCAACGGCAGCACTGTAAAAATTTCACTTGACGGTATGTCTCCACAATAACTGTCATATAGCATACACTTTATAACATAAAAGTGYTGTGCTCAGTCCAGCCAGTAATTGAGTTCTTATGGGAACCAAGTAATATCTACATGCTAGAGGCAGAAATTCACAGATTGCAAGTGAAATGTATCTGTAAAATACCACAAAGCTACGTTGCATTCAATCAAAGATGTCTGTGGTAGGTTTATATGTCCAAATTATTTGAAAATTAATGGAAATATTTTGAAAAGATGTGCGATTTTAATAAAAAAAATGCAATGGCATCTTCAAGAGTCATATATCCATAGCAACGGTTGCTATKACAACTTCAAACCTATCAAAACCATAGCGAAATAAAATGTTGTTTCACAAGAGACATTTTGTAAGAGATTGAGTTTATTTCATTGGTTTTTCAGGTTGGTATGCTCATTCATTCAATATGGTTCTAWATGGGACATTATTTTAGGGGTACGTAATGTCACTTACAAAACAGGCCCAAACACAATGAAGGCCCACCGATACTTTAGTACATCGTGTCTAAAAATCATCGACAAGGACCCTATTTTTGATTTATGGTATCAGACCAAATATGTGAGGGGTGTGCTACGTCACGATTTTTTCAGGGTCCTGGCTCCCGGACTATAAACGTCAGGCAGTCAAATGTTTGAAAAATACAGACATACCAGCAGAGTTGTGGAAGTGAAATTTTCTAACTCTTTCTGTATCAGACCGTCCCCCTTCAACCAAAAATAATTGGTTCACAGAATAAACAGATAAAAAAGTGTTTTATTTGGTTCAATAGCCACAATAACAAAGACAAACAAAGTATATCAAATGTATAAAGTGAACAATAGATGCATTAAATGTCCTTATCAACTGCATATCATAATCCTTATCCCTTCAAAATGAAGAACGAATGGTCCAATTATAGGCCCTGCACCATTCACTGGATGCTTGGGGACAATGATAAATTGTTCTGGTAATGGTTGAAGGGGGACGGGGAGGGTCACAATATTTTGCCCGTCTGATATCAGTAGAAAATTTCACTTCCCCACTATGGTTGGTCACCCTATTCCCAGTACCCACTTTTCAATTTCCACCTCCCCTCCCCCCTGCTAATTTTTGCCCAAGACCTTATTTCGGTCTTTATTCCATTTATCTTGTACTATTAATTGAAATTACAGTTGTTCCGACGACTGTAAAAAAGTCGACTGCCTGACGTTTATAGTTCTGGGACTAAACGTCAGGCAGTTGAAAAATCTCAAAATGCCGTGATTGTGTTTGAAACTTGTCGAAAAGTATTATTTCGGTGTTTAGTGCATTTCCCTTGATGTATTAATGAAATTACGCCGGTTATTTCCGACGATTTTTCACACAAAAAAATTGCTGCCTGACGTTTAGACACTCTAAAATATTACGAATATGATTGAATAAAATTGTGCAATTTGGTTGGCTTAGAGGAGTGGTATTTATCCTTCATAGTAGATTTCGAATTGAACAATTTTATTCAATCATTTATAAACAAATAATAACATGCTTTGTACGTCGTTTGTATGTTTTGTATGTCGCTTCGCTCGTGAAATTTTGTTCGACAATTTTGAAATATCACGCGTGGTATTTAACCCAAATACCACTACAAAACATGCTATTATCGATACAAATAGCTAGAAAAAACATAAATAAATAAATGAAAAACAAGCATGGAGATTTGACGCAAATAACGCCTTTGTGTGTTTCGTGGCCACTTTGCTTCTGAATTTTCTAACACAAACTTTTGTATGAGCCAAGAGCTCGTCTTTCGAGATTAACGGGCGATGGGGAAGGTACCAATATTTGTTATCATAACTCACAAAAAAAGGAAACATTGTTCAATATTCCGTTGAAGAAAATTGATGATCAATTTTTGGACTTAAATCCTGACAGATTCGAAAAGATGAAAAAAGCACTTTCATCCTGACAGATGACGCCAATATATTCAAACAKCATGCGTGTTGTTCTCGACAGAACACMCAACTCATTAATTCTTATCGTACCAAATTCAAGCGTTTTGAGGCTATTTGCCWCACTGCTTTTGCACCACATTAAAACGAATTACAATCCTCTTAAATGTCTGGTTCCTTCTCTCAATATACATAGTTTTTGCTTTGAACTGCCATTTGGTACAACTAAAAGTTTTGCCTGTAAAAGCTTATTACGATTAAGCTCTTTTATTAGAAGGAATTTGAATATAACTAGGCTTGTAGAAAATATATGGCGTTTATTTCACAAACACTTGGCGAATATATGCAAGAGCTTCAAAACCAWCAATTATTTCTGGGATGACAACTAAACAACTAAACCTTTTGGAAACTCAATTTCAAATACAGTATTAAATAAATATATATCTCAAAAACGCTTCATTATGAGTTAAAAACAAAAAAGAAATTGAAAATAATATTTAAAAAATGTTTGATATTTGTAAAATTCGAACTTCTATGAAATTAAAAAATGTTTTCTCTTTTAATTCTAAGAAATTGTTTACAACTAGATTTATGAATCTATATATTTGCGGATGAAGGCAAAATGGAGTAAACAAAGGACGATTTCTAGTCGCATTTTAGTCGTTTTTAGTGAACATTACATACTAGCAAACACCGGTATCGAGACAGATGTTTTCTAGTTCTTGAAAAAACGAAACAAAAATAGAAAATGGCCAGCTCCGCAATAACCAAGAGATAAACTTAATCTACCAGATTGAATCATATTTCAAGAAATGACATCGGTTTTGCTTTACTTTAATTTGCGTCGTTAGTAATTTTGTGTTATTCAATTTAACATCCAGTTTGTTAATTTAGTTAAATTTTCTATAATAAACGTACAAGAATTATGAAAATCTGAAAAAATATTGATTTTCAAGGGTTAGACAAAGCTGACCATTTCTATTACCTTTTTAAAATTGTTCAAAATGTTTCAGTCCCCAGTATACAATAGCTCAAAGTAAATGTATGCTTACCAAAACAAACTTTTGGGTAACCAAGGATAAGTTTGCAGTATCTGTTTTCGGTTTGAACCATTTCTTACCAACCTAGCAATCTACTCAAAGTCTCAGTGGATACTGAATCTTGAAATTGATTGAAGCTTGTTGACTTTTAAGAGAACGTTCAGAGCACATTGCTCCTGAAGGCGACTCGAACAGTTAATGACATTCRGGGACCAGGTGAAAAAGTGTCTTCCGTGCAAGTATATGGGATAACAATATACCAGAATAACTGGCAGACGTACAACAGAATTATGCATGAAATTAATAAATTTAATTCTGACACCGATCAATGTTCAAATGGAATTGAAAAACAGTTGCGTAAAAGTTTTTTGCCGGATGAAAAGATGCTATAATTCATCTCATGAAATCGCTGTACCATTATTTATRTGCACTCTCAAAAAAAGGCTCATACTGGTTATAACTTTGTGTAACGTGAAATCGATTAGACTGCTTAAACAATCAATTAAATTTACTCATTCAGGCGAATTCGRATTTTGTGTTGCCAAATGACAAACCAAAGGTTTGAGGTACCTTTTAGGCCTCAGAGAATAATTTGGCAAAATGCAAAATGGYTTTATGACAGTAAATTCATCGTATTCCCAGATGGCGTTATGAATGTTTTTCAGCGACTGCTTCAAAGTTCGTATATCTTATAAAGCCTTCCTTGACGTCATTGTTATTAGCATATATTTGTAAGATTAAACCCTCATAACTCAGAGACGCAACCACTGAAATGAAAAATAAAGTTCAACCATTTAGTCTTTTTTATATAAAATTAGTTCACAGAGAATCAGAACTCATTGTGTCGGGCGTCATAAAGRATTTCGAAATGTCAGCTACAACCAACATCGATATTTACATATGCTGCAGGCAGATTTATTTTTATTTATTTATTTCACTCCGCTGATTTATTTGACAACAAATCTCTTGCGCAAAAGCCTTACTAGAAACAAAAGAAGGCACGGRAAAATGTCGCTTTTACAATAGCCCCAAACATTTACATTTTCTCCAAATTGAGACTTAAACGGGTTGGAAAGTAAAATTTAGGACCGTTTTTAGCAAATTTTCAGTTGTTGGCATGAATTTTGCTCGTTGAAACATATGATTTTAAGTTATAAAAATGCGCGTTTCCGGCATGGATTGAAGCTGAGCGTTCATCTAACATCATTTTTAGCATGAAGCAAAATATTTCATGCGTATAACGGCAAAAATCACGTTGAAGCGTACACGACATGGTAGAAGTGTTTCAAAACGTTTATAGGGCATGAGCTAAAATTTTACATGCAGCAAATGCACAATTTTATGTCATCACTAGRATCATTTTCATACCGACTCATAAATACCCAGGAGGCATTGCGAACATTTATAAATTCATGAAGCTTTGCGAGCATTTTCATGTTGGGCATGACATCCCATAAAGCGTTGCGACCGTTTTCATGCTGGGCATGAAATCCCATGAAGCGTTGCGACCGTTTTCATGCTGGGCATGAAATCCCATGAAGCGTTGCGACCGTTTTCATGCTGGGCATGAAGCGCACGTGTGAAACAACACAACATTTGATGTTTGCCTTTTATTGTTAAAGGAAGATTTCACGTTTGCAGTTGCAAAGTTTTTGAAAGATCAGATCATGTATGTTCTTCCGCGGTTAAATAATATCAGTTGCTCCCTCCAGAGAGAAATTCCAATGACTTCCCATTTTTCATTCCTATGATTTCCTATGAAATATGTATAAATATATGTTACTCACAGGCCTTTTGTTTACATATCAACAGAAAGAAATATAAACACTGAGAACACAGCAATTTAAAGGTTTCAATTTAAAATGTAAAACTTATATTTTGATAATATATTCATTAACTAGTTATTTAGTATCAGAACAAATTTCAGCGAAAAGCGCCTATTGTAGAGCTTGGGCTTGGCCAGGCTGTCATAAAAAAAACTTTGCTACAACTTACAGTGCATTCTTCGTCGAAAGGCGTATCTTGAAGCTTTCCATAGTTTCACTAGTCCATCACCACCAACATTTTGATACCAATTAGTACTAAATTCCTACAAAAACGCCATTCATCAGTTGTATAGTCAAGAAGTCAAGTCCTTGTGTGTAAACTTAGCATTGGATATCTCGACAAAGCACATGCTGCAAACTGTAAGTATGATAGCTTACCGTCTTAAACAGCCGAATTTCAACCTTGTATGGGAATGTTTGACACACTCGTCGCTTCAGGCACTGGTATTTTCCTCTCTTTGCAGTCGAAGTGATCGTTTGTTTATCCTCTGTGTCGGTTGAGTGAAAAAAAAAAAACGGTTTTTTCTCTTTAGAATAGAAAATTGCGTGATACACGAATCTAACGAATCGACTCACGAACCCGAAGGAGGTCGAGAAATCATCGAGAATCTCGAGAATGAGAAATGGGAGAGCTCGAGCTAACCCGAAAACGTTTCCGTATATTTAAGATCAAAAATTGAAAGCCGAAGATATTACGGAAATTAATGACGTGTTTTGAAAACAGCTCAAAATTTGCGCCGTTTTTTACTCACTGCGTTTGTCCTCTTGAATATGAAGGCTCTCATATAACGGTCTATTATAAAAGTAAGTTTTTGAATGACTAAATACACTCTTGYTGGAAGTATTTTAKCTAGAGGATAAGCTTAAACTTTTCTTTCCAACATACTTATGTTTTTACCAAGATTTTTATCATAAACACTTTTAGGCAAATATGTTGTGTCTCATATTTACGGTAAATGAMTTTGTTTCCCTGTTTCCTTGACCGAAGTTATCCACTTTGAGTTTGTTATTTATGATATTACGTGATTTCCTTTCATAGAGACCTCTTAATAAGGGGCATCACACAAAAAGTGGAGACTGGGATCAAACGATGTCTTTCAAATGCTGTTTTTCAAAGTAAGTTTTCTTTATAACAACTGTAAATATTTTTGAAAGATTAAATGTTGCTTTCATTGACAATCAATGTTAAAGGCAATGAAGAAAATGTTTAGATTTTCTTTCGTCAATTCATCATGACTAAAGTGATCACCATCTACAAAAACAGCAATCAAAAATTGGCTGAACACAAGAATAGATGAATCATTTGCATGATGCACACACAGCAAATCAACTCTCTCTGTTTGTTCGTTGTTGTTGTTGTTGTTGTTG